CTAGAACTATGAATGCTTACAATTCTGAGTATGGTCATGTTGACATCTTCAATCTCAAACCACATCAATTAAAAAAATTGATAGAGAATAAATTATAATTTTTCTCTGATACTTTAACTATACCTAATGCAGTTCAGATTTCTGTGAATGTTTTGGATCTTGGGACTTTGAATTGTATGTTCATGTCATTTTATCGTTTAAAATATATAAAAAAAAACTTAGATTACTAACTGTTATGTTTTTCATTGTTTGTTAGTCATATAGAGTAAGATCCGAGAGCGATCTGACATAACTTATTTTAAACGCATAGAACTTTCGATTCTAAGTAGTCTCTACATGTACTTTTAATACCTGCGCACCTGGGCAGGTACCAGGTGAGAAAGGTTACTAAAAATCAGCGTTACTTTACTTAATTTTAAATGTCTGATTTTTAAATAGATTATGAACAATGTTATTCTGAAGTAAAATTAAAAGTATCGGACACTTTCCATGGGCCAGAACTTTTGTCAGACGCTTTAAAGCTCCGTAGAAAATAAATTGACTTTACTTATTTTTAATAGCATTGCATGTGTTTAGCTGTGGGAACTGTCTAGGCAACTGTACTACTTAATTGAATTATGTATATTCTATGTGTAATTCAATGCTGTTATTTCCCAAATGAATTAAATAAATAAATAAAAGTTATTAAATGGTCGATCACATCAAGCACTGATGATGCAACCCTATCTTTGAATTAACAAAATTTCTATCTATGTACCTACATGGAATTATTCAGACCAACACGATAAAAATTTAAGCACCACATTAATCAATGTTTTGGATATCCTAAGCGTGCAACGCTTGCAATTGCATCGTTTGCGTGTTACTACAGACCTAAACTAAAGCTTTATTAGATAAAATTTTATCTGTCTTTATGTCGTGTCAAGCGAAATGTTGTGACGTGAATTAAAGTAATCAAGAATCAGCAGGCAGCATAATCAACGCTAATAATACATAACTTACTCGTCTACGCTATAGGGAACTGTTTAACAATCGCTAAAATAAGTTTGAAGGCGGATTAAATGAACAATTATCGGTGCTGGGAGAGTGTTCGCTTTCAATTTCGCGGTTATCGAGCCAGCGAGCTCACGCGCTGCGCCTGCGCCGCCGCCTCGTCGGTGGGTCGCCGGTGCACCATTTAGTTGCACTCTTGTTTTCTTTCAACAACCGAACGGAACGTTGTTATGCCACAACCGTGTCCAATCGCCTTCAATAATAGTGGCTTATTTAAAATTACAACTTCGGCGAAGTATTAATTTATAGTATGGTGTTTCATATTAAAAATAATGATGTAATTTTATTAATAATTATACAACACTGGCTCTGCCATAGTCTGTGTTTCCTGCCGACCGACCTTGACCACGACCGCACGTTCTTATAGAACCAACATTATCCACTTTTAGTCACCAATTAACTATTAATCTCTTCTTTCGTGAAGAAGCTTTTTAGAATGGGTCTAATCTGTTACTTGGTTTATTTCTATCATTTGCATATACCCATGCTCCGTCGTAATTCACCTGCCTAAGCTACGTCGGTACTAGTAAGATGCTGATATTGGTCCAGTTTTTGAAATCTGTCGTGCCATTTATCTTTGCCATAAAATGAACCTATGTGCTACTCTTTAAAGAACCAATTTTAATACGTTTTTATTGATATACAAAGTGATTGAAGAGGATAATTTATAAGTATAAATACACAGACTGCCAAAATTGAGAAGGTAATATTTTGTCAACTTTGAAACCAATGACAAAACAAGAGAAATCAGCTAGTAAATATCTTAGTTTCCTAAGAATCATTTAGTCACCTCTTTATTCTGCGGTAGGACACGTTTTTTTATTGTGATTGCGTTTTTGTAGTCAACAATTCCGTGATGCATATTATCTCTAAGGAAAACGTGTACCTTTATTACAGCCAGGCTGCTCGGATGCTGTCACTTCAGCCTCACGTTTTTTTATATTTATTATTTTGTAATTGTCACTAGTGAACTTAGTACACACAGCAGAATGTCAAGTTATCACGTGGTAGTTCTGTTGTATCACTCTCAGTAAACTAACATTATTTTGGGTTTGTGTTAACATTATTCCGTCAATAACAGTCGTCTTTCGTCATCGAGCACAGCGCTATCATATCATAGAGGTTCAATCAAAGTATACCTTCATCAAATGTTTAAACAAGTTTCATTTCATTGGCCCTTTATGTCGCGATAGGGCTGCGCTCGACGGCGAGTTCGAGGCTGTTTTTTAATACAAGCGTAGCAGGATAGTTGCCTCTAACTATCCTTGTATTTTATTGTATATCCATTTTTTTATTTGGCGCCTTTAAATGTACGTAGTTGTGGTGAGAATTTATAAGTAATATCGTAATACAAAGATGTTGTAGTAGCCGTAGCGGACTCGAAGTCCGTAAACAGTTTCTTAGAAATGAATGAGTGTTAAACAAGAAACACTCAATCATGTAAAACTCGAAGCCCAAACTTCCGCGCTCTGTTCTATAACGGCCGTGATGTTTACAAAAGTACGCCAATGCACTATCTCAACTAGTGACACTCAACATGCGACCAAGGAGCAGAGTGGTAAGTGTAAGTTTTACGCTAACGCGTTCACTAGTGAGCGCGTTAAGAATTTGTATGGAGATTTGTAGTTCTTGTTAGTTACCGCTAGGGGCGCTGTACCGGATTCCATACTAAAATCTTAACGCGCTCACGATCGACAGTGAACGTAAGCGTCAAAAAAACTTACACTAAGCACTCTGGAGCCAGGACCATTTCTTTGCATAGATTATTTTCTTGTTTTGGCATCACACGGTTTGTGTATTTGCCAGTGTCAAAGGTAGATAAATTTATGTATTTAGAGCGACAAATGCAACTATTATAAAACGTCAATAAATTTATAATAGTTTTTACTTATTTTTATAGTTTTAAGAGCTTTTTAATTACTTCAATAATTGTGACTATACATATATTATGTTTTGGCCTTTCTTAAATGCCAGTCAGATTATTTTGTAAATTTTTACCAGTGTCCCGCTTTTTTTAGTTTACTATTATTATAGACATATTAAAAACAGTGGTTTTAAAAATATTAATTTAATGTGGGCAGAACAAACAAGTTTGATTTGTTTTCGTCTATAAGTTTAGTTTCGTCTATAAAAGCGTAGCGCTTTTGTGTTATATTATCTTATGAAAGACATAAGTGAAAATTTCTTTATAACAGCTTAATAAGGTTTAAATCACCTATGGTCCTATATTATACAATAAGTAAAGAATAAAACGAAATGTCGAAAACGTGGAATTATCAACCTAATGGTTATGGTTTTAGGGTGTAAAATACTTCACAGGAAATTGTGCTTACAATTGTACGGCATACTTATCTCTTGTTTCTAGGCAATCTTGTAAACTATATCGTATTAGGCAAATATTATTATGCATAAGAAACCAGACACTCGTTCACGTATATCACTTCAAACTATCAATAATGAATTAATAATCTAATAAACGATCGAGAGTACGTCAAGTTACATTCAAAATTGACTGCCGAAATTTATCTTTTTGTGGTAACAGGATGTACTGCTGATTTGAAGCAATCAATCAGATGACAAGCCGCGCCGGTAGTATCCTGCGTTTTGTTTTGGCCCCATATGTATGTATATATATAAGTTAATGACTCAACAAAAAGGATTGACAATGTAAACTCAATGTGTTCCTCTGAAAATAAAGATTTATTTGTTAGTAACAAAAACAAATTATATTGCTACTTAAACCTAAATTACACTTAATAAAATTCCTACCTGAAAATAAAGAAACGACATTTAAAGTTATTTTTTATCTTATATACTAAGTTGAGATCTTGGTTTCTTTAAAATTATTTTAAAATTTTTGTTCAGACAAGAAGAGGAATCATGACATCTAGAATTACGTAGCACTGAATGCTTCTTACAGACACATCTTTTAGTAGAACACTGTATATTCGATTTTTTACAGGAACATTTTAAATAACCTTGGCCAGGGGCTCAGGCCTTCCCTATGAATGGTTAAGGAGGATGGGCCATGACCCTCTACGCTGACCAAACGGATTGGAGGGTATTAACGACTGCAAATGCAGCCGGGACCAACGGCTTAACGTGCCTTCCGAAACACGGAGTAGCTCGAGGTAGCTCGAGTAATAATTTGTAACGACAACGAACGCGGGCCGCGGCGCTTATCCACTACGCAACCAAGACTATATTTCTCTCAGTGACAAGTTTTCATTTGGTATAGGATCATTCAAAGTAATGTTTGAAAGCTGTATTGCATTTCTGGGTAACCAATCTTTCAGGATACCAACTGATATTCCAATTTTATCACATTCATTTCGCTTTTCTAAAACTTTGTCCACGATCTAACTTTGGTATCTGCATAAGAACTGAAGATCTGTAAGCTTTTTAATAATTTGATATCTAAAAATTAGCAGTATTAGAAAACCAAAGAGTTTTTTATGCACTACATACTATCTAAATAAATATTAAAAAACTGCTTTTTCTTTACATATATTAGCCAAAACTTGTATCGTACTCACCACCCTCACACCACCCTTGACAAGTTTAGTTCGTGCATGCACATCGTATTCGTAAATAAGTTCCGTACAGTTTATAGTTCGCTCTGCATTTCGGTTTGTCTGTAAGTGAAATTGTGAAAGATTAAAACAAATAAACAATAAAACAATTACCTAACTTCTTTTATAACAATAAATGAAAATAATAATCAATTATGGTCTCTAAGAAGAAATAACTTATATGGACATACTTCGAGGATGATGGCAGTGACCCTCAAAATGTCGTGTAAACCGTGCGAAATATAAATTTCTAAAAATTAATTTAAAAAAAAAATGCTATGTCGCTACTACCTCTGAACACGTTGGTGTTTAGTGCCCGACGACTGATGTCATAGATTTAAAACTGTGCACCTTATCCCCATGCTTTGTCCGCAGGATATTCGAGAAGGTGCGACAATATTTCGGCGCACAGAGCGAATCGATCCCGATGTCGTTCGTGCTCGGCTTTTACGTGAGCCTCGTGGTGAAGAGGTGGTGGGAGCAGTACAAGCTGCTGCCGTGGCCGGACACCCTCGCGCTGTTCATCTCGGCCGGGATACCTGGGGCGGTCAGTACCACACCACTCGCTGCACTGGCGAGAATTGGGTCGCGACAGTACACCGTGTAACGATGGCTACCTCCATATTTAGAACTTAACTGTTTTCTACTATTTTTTTAATTTACTTTTTATTATATATTTGAAATACCTTAATTGGATTAAGGATACTGCACAGCATTTCTGCTAACGTTAAAACTACCTTCTTAATAGAATCTCAACGACTAACATTGAACCATTTTAATATCTACCTAAAAGGACGTAAAAGGTCTGATGATGATGATCCCCCACTGCAAGGGCACAGGTTTTATGAATGGTTAAGGAGGTGGATAAAGGGCAAATTGTTCTTGCATTTGATATACGATTATTACTTAAATATCAGCAGAATTGGTTCACTGTACATCTACCTACTTTATAAAACAATGTAAAGAAGCTACGATGTTAAACAACTTCTGGGTGTAGAAGCGGCTGAATAGTGTATTTTTTAACGACAAGCTGGAAGCACTAGGTTAGTCTGATTTTAAGAGTCGAATTGAACCGAAAGAGGCTTTTTAATACTTACACACGTGTGGTACTCCTAAGAACATAAATATCCTTGCCACCTTTTCTCAAAATTATTCACGCATGCCTAATGCTAATTTTGTGGTATTTCTTTATATTCACCATCGGTCTCTGATTACAGCTTAAATCATAATTATTTATTCTACATAACTGACTACACACTTGATGTTGATAAGTTTGTCCTTATTATCGAAATGGTAGCTAAAGATCAATTTAAACCAAGAATCCTAACGAGTAGTTTAAGTGGTATTTTTGTACCTCTTCCTCTTCCATATTTATTGAAAGTGGTCATCTAAAACCCCAGCATCTTATCCTCGTAAATGCTTTGCCCCACAAGGTCCGAAACGATGTACAGTTACACATCGTGTAATGCAATGAAATATTAAAATATAGAAAGAAATCCATAAATTTAAAGCGTGTTCTTTGCAATGGTATCATAATTATCATATACTTATAATCTCCAGCATCTGAAGCAAATTAAAACGTAAATCTTAATGAGGCGTATGTACTTATGGTTGCGAATGTGATTTTCTTGCCAAGCGAAGGCTCACGATGTCAATTTGCCTCATACAAATCACAATTTATTCTAATAAATTGTGTATATGCTTCTAGATCACAGAAAAAAAGTGTTCTGTGGTGTATATCATTCATCGTAAGGACTTCTTTGATCACTTTTGCTTTAACTTCAATATGAATAAGATTCTGTATTTCGTATTCAATGAAGGTTATAAAGGTTATATAATCAGTAGGTAGTTTATGATTTCTTTTTTATACTAGGTAAATATTTGTAATGGGTTTCCACATAGCATTTTTTATTTCCTTTAAAATGGAAAATCCTTTGCTACGATTGTCAGGAGCTATTTCGTGTTTAAACTATATAATGGAGATGTTTTTATTTATTTATAAAAATTTTAAGCATTATTAGGAAACGAAATAGAGTGAATTATGGCATTAAGTCTGCCATTAGAACGATTAAAATTATGCAATAAAGCATAAATAAATATATACGTTCTTATTCGTTTGTAATGATATGTTTTAATTCTTATAACGTAATAAATAATCTACACGATGCCGAACTCCTTTCTCCAACACCATTTTTCTGAGTATTTAAAGTTAAGTACATCTCGTTTTAGTCTTTTTTCGATTGCGATCCAAAAAAAATTAGGACTTTTGCCTTATGAAAAAAAAAGTTATTGATAATAATCGGTTGAGATTTAGTACCTTTATCAATTCAGAAATCGCCCGTAAATCAGTAGTAATTAATAAGCTAATCCGTGTGGAACCGGTTTTTTGTAACTTTTGCCTGGGATCCAGAAAGAACGGCTTGATGCCCAGCCCCCGTTCAGACCAATTTATGGGAATTAAGAGCAAATTTTTTATAAGAATATTAAAACCGCCTTTATGCGGAACATGATTTAAGACAGGAAATTAAGTGATAATAATATTCATGGGCATCAAGAGATATCTTTCAGGAGGGGCCTGTCCTCCAGTTAGACACCATTGTGTTGTATGGTCTAAATCGGAAAACTTGACTTCTTAAAAACGATATTTGTGCCTTACGTCACTAACTAAGCATATCTGAATCTACCTGTGGCTTATTTGTTGATGAACAACATTGAATTATCGACTCGCAACACGCCCATCGTGTCGTCAAATATATGTAGTATAGTCAGTTTTTTTTTAATTCGAATTACATCAAGTTGAATGGCAAATTAATCTTATGCTTAGTTTACCGAACGATATTTCCTGTTGTTGGAGGCACAATTATAATCGAGATTATATCTGTTCTATTCTTGTTATTATAAAAACTATCTACGCTAGTGAAGTTTCACACAAAAAACAGTTGACATAGAGAAAATATTATGGTTATTTAGTTTCTTATTTTATTAGACTTGCCGAAATCTAAAGGATAACCGATAAAGGTAAACATGTTCCTACCTATTTAACTACTAATCTTTCGTAATAAAAGTCTGAATTAAATTCGGGCTCATTTAAATTGAAACTTTTGTGGACATTAAAATACACCGCCATAAACCCACGGGGCCGTTTTGAGTTCGTTAGTAAACGAAAGAAAGAGTGAATTCGTTTAAATATGCGTAAGCAATCGTGGTGACCACTTTCGCTGTCGGGATTCTCGAACGTCCGCAGTATTTGCTAATGCCAAACTTAGATTTTCCATTGTTCTTTTTTTGCTCAGCGAATAGCTCATTATATTATGAGAATCTGTGTTCCAAAGTTAATTATTTTAGGTGGCGATTAACGAGCCTGTTCCCAGGAGGGTCGTACTGAGGAAGCGGTTCCAAGGTAAAGTACCTACGCTAGAGACGAAGTTGTTTGGCATGTTTTGTGATGTTTCACGCTGTGTCTCCCGAGCGCTGTCTGTACTCTCGTCACACTTACGTGGCTTATAAATCACTGCATGGCGGATGTTTTAGCTGGATTTGTCACTATTATATGTTGTTGACACTTTTAGGAAAACATATTATCTTTCATAACTATACTATACATTAATAAAAACTTATTTAGTCAGTGAGTAAAAGTAAACACAAAGGTAAAAGTAAAATAACGAGCTTTATGAAGCACACAGGTCAAAATAAAAAATACACAGGGAAAAATAGAAATAGTATGCAGACGGCTTATTGGATAGCAATCTCATTTAGGGAACCTATGAAGTAGAATCATCTTATTTATTAATATATCAAAGCACTCTGAATGACTTGGAAAACTACAAAATGGCGCTTAGTTTTGTGATTTGAAAAATGGTAACCATTCTGATATAAGTCTTTCAATTATAATATAAGTCTACTTCTGTCATTATATTTTAAATAACAAAAATATATTGACAGAAGTAGACTTATATTATAATTGAATATAAATGAGTATTATTTAACTATGTATGTGATGTGACTATAAAAAAGAAAGATAAAGCCAAATTATAATTAGTTTGATTGTTATATAGTATACAAACATATACTGTATAAAAACAGTACCGCACTGTTTATGTATAATGTATACGCTTAAGGCAGCAGTTTAAAACATTGATCATAATGCACTGAGTTCATAGCGAAGTCAAATGAAAGCATTCGAAGTCAGAGCCGGTCAATAGTAGGTCTTCCTATCTCGTAACATAGGTATTCTACTAGCTCGTTGCGGGATTACGTAGCCGGGATCCTGCGCCGCTTGAACGCCCTATCATTCAAATAATGACCTGGAACACTTGTGATGTGTCATGTTTTTTAGAAAAACATTTGCAAACTGAGACGGCTGACTAAATGGCTATAGTAATAAATATGCTTGGTTATTTTTTTGTTCAAAATTTACTCGTATGCTAATAATGAAAACTTGAGCGGGCGCGTAGGTACTTGCACCCAAAATCATAAAAAAATTTTTTGTACAAAGTTCAACTGATTTTGTACAGAGAAACTAAACTATTTTCATAGCAAATGCTAAAAAAACAAAAACTAAAATATTTTTTTTTGTTTGCTAGACTTGACGCAGAAGTCTGATATTTCATCAAATAAAATCTACTTGAAACAGTAATAAAGGTTTTATTTCATTAGAGATCTAGGCTGTGTTGATTTCAATTTGATACCAAAGACTGAGAATAACAATAGATCTATAAAGATTATTTATGAGGAACCTAAAATATGTGTGTAAGGTGTGTGCTGGTCGGTCCGTCCGTGGCACCCGCTTCGCACGCATCAAGGGGCGTCAGACAAACCCGCCCGTGTCTCTATAATTACTCGCTCTATCATTTACCTGTTCACGCCGTCAAGGTCGGCATTTAAACACTAACCTTATTGTTCTGTACACCTTTATAGACAATTTTTTCAATGAATGACGTTCGTTCTGAAATTAGCGAGATCAGAAGAATCTGTTATCATTTAATACTAAAAATTTCGATTTACCATCCGACAATTTACTATCTTAATCTGCCAATATAGGACCGCCATTACAGCATTGAAGTAATTATTTAAATTGAATTTGGAATTAGTAAAGTAATAAAAAATACATATATAACATTTTGACTACTTAATTTATCAAATATATCTGTATTAGTTAAGTTACTGTCTGCGGTCGTATCTACTCGCAGTGTACACTAACAAACTGCTTGACAACGTACTCGTACTTAAAAACAATATTGAAAACATTAAATTTTAATTGTTCTAATTATTTTAAGATAGATTTTTTTTTATCGCAACACAATAATGAAAATTATTTCATTTGCTATTAATCATTCAATGAAACTAAGACAAGAATTTCAAAATATTACGGAAACTGATTTTTAAACTTATATTAATTTTACAATCGTATAAAAGTTGATCTTTCTTATCTTTGTCGTCTTTAAATCTATCCCAGGCCTATTGACTTCAATGGCACTCAACTGAGTTAAATTCTATATTCATTTGAATATAATACTGATAAAATATAGACAATCCCAAAGCAAGTTAGTTGTTGAAGTGTTTACTCACTAATTCACCAGTTGGTAGCTTTGTAGTGATTACAAATAGCGGAGTGGTCGAAACCACTATTTTTTGTGAAAAAATCTCTTTTCTTATACAACGCAGGAGAATGCAACTAGGACTCGCCAAGCGATCTTTTGGGTCAAGGTGTGGGTGGCCTACCTGGTAACCCTCCGTATGAAGTCCGCCGGATCCCACAGTGGAAATCCACTAACCTGCCAATACTGCCTGTCAAGTGCTAACAAGAATCGGCAACATCACGTACTATGTTGTCGTGCAATCGTTAGCGTGCCGTTCTCCTTTCGTGTTTTAGTCTTGATGCGCTGACCTTGACACTTATATTACCTATATTATCTTACTTTGAAGTCTGAAATATTTTACAATGAAAATACATAGACCGTGAGCTGAATCACTCGTTTGAAATAGTGACACCGACGACGCTGTCGACATAAGCCAATTACTATGTCGTTCGATAACTTATTTGTATGTTTGGATCATTTGACCTGAGGTCTAACTCAGCGTGTCGGTACACTAAAAAAAAGATTTATTTAATTTTTTTACTTGTACGCAGAAGAATTAACATAATGACATTGGGCCAATTTCTACGACGCACTACAAAATACTCATAGTTTTCACACTGAAAGATTTTACAATAATCCCGTAACAAAGGAGTTACGCTTGAAAAACTAGATTTACGTTTTAGCGGTGACTTTGACTTTGACTTTGACTTTGACTTGACTTTGACTTTGACGTCGTAGAAATTGGCCCGACGTCACTATGATAATATTGCTGCGTGTGACAACTGTCATAAATTATTAAGATTTTGAATTAAGAACTCTTTGTAAATCTTTACATCTGTATCGAGATTTTTTTTTTTTTTTGCAAAGTGCCATTAAAGTTAAGAAGAAGAAGAAGAAGTATCGAGCTTTTGTCAATTGTGAAATTTTTGTAGTATCAGTTGCAGTTGATACCAAACATTTTTTCTTCGCCATAACTAATCGTATGTAGTGTTGGGCCAATAATTAGTACAGAAGTAAAAAAGAAGACTATTTAGTTGCTGACTTCGCACCATAGGCGGGCTCTTCAGTGATTTTATAAGATATATTCTGACACAAATATTAGGTACGATGCTTAAATTTGGGATTTACCGAAAGCGCGACACTGAAAATACCTATTTATATAGTTGCAAAGCAGACAGGAAATGACGGTACATATTTTTTTAGCACGAGTAATGTTTGTTTCGATATAATAATGTTTATCTCATTATACGCGCCGTTTTAATAGACTTATTGAAACTGCTGATTTGTATCAGACAGGGTCCAAGCCATTGTTGGTGCAGTAATCGCTTCTCACACTACCGCCTGCTGAGAGCTGCCGGGTTCAAAATAGATGCTTCAAACGAAACGTAATAAATTATGGATTGCTATAAAAACGTCTGTTTCACAAAACAAATAAAAGAAACAAAGTACTCATATGATTAAACTTTTAGTAAATTATACCCACCTACAAAATAAACTTTTTTTTTTATAAATATAAAATGGATTACGTTCATGCGTGTAATAACTTTATTAAATGGTTGATGGGGTCGAACGATTCTTATTTACACTTATATAAAGGGGGTCTGGGAAAAATCTGGAAAAAAAACATCTAGCTTGCCTATTAAAGGAATGGCACATATCGTGTTGGAATG